TGACCTGCATGTTTTCAGGAGGACAAACCCAACAATTCACACCCTTTTCTTTCTTTCTGCAAGCTTGTTCCCAGATTGTGAAGAGCTGATTTTCACCTGGACCAAGTACCCCAGGGAGAAACACACCAAAGAAATGCCCCACCGAATAAATCTTTCCTCTGAGGGAGGAAGATCTTGGATATTTTCAGTCACCATTCCTCTTGGTCCAGACTTGGGCTCTTTCCCCCTGCCCTCTCTGTGAAGTTGGAGCCAGTCTCCATTCCTGTGCTACTGGGAGCTCCCATGCACAGAGCAATGGGAAGGCAGCTGGGACCCCTATGCCCCCAGTTGCTCCCAGTGTGGGGTTCAGTGCTGCTCTCCTGTCGTGCTGAGCCAGAGGAGAAAGAGTGACAAAGGGTGAAAGTCATCAGGGACAGCAGGGAGCCTGGAGAAGAGGCAATGAGAGCAGGGGGTTCCCAGGGAGATGGTGTCTGCGTCCCACAGCCTGACCCCATCCCCATCACGTGCCCATCCACCCCGACTTGCTGCAAGGATGGACACAGTCAGGCTCAGCTGGAAAATCAGGTCATGCTGCTGTGCTCGGGGGCAGTTCATGGCCTGGCATGTGGGATATTGGAAACCTTCTTGCTGGCCCAGTTGAAACCTCTCTCTTCTCATTTCTATGCTCCCACTTGCCACATTTCAGACAGGGCAAACTGCCCTCCTCTTCCCCAACTGGGGATCAGCAACGTCCCCTGTGTCCCTTTGGGGGATCTTGGGGGAGAGAAAACCCTCTTTAACGCTCAAACTTGACGGGAACATTTCCATGGGAACTCTGCGCCAAAAACATCTTCAACCTGGGACCACCTGGTGGGAAAGGTCCCCCAGCAAACCCCAGTGTAAGTGTGTGAGGGGAGATTCTTTTGGAGGAAAATCCTCTTATTCTCCATTTTCTGCCATGGCTTGCCACAGCCATAAAAGCCAAGCACCTCCAGGGAGATAAAAAACCCCAAACAAACCCAACTACATCATCTCACTTTGATGCCAGCATGCTGGGTTGGGTCCGTATGGGCCTGGAGGCAACTGTAGGTGTTACCCTGAGTGTGTGGTGGTGTGTGTGTGTGTCTGGCCTTGCTCACCCTCTTCCAGTTTTCCCTTTCCCTTCTCCCCATAGACTCCCTCCAACTTCATGGGAAGCTGCAGGATCC